GCCAATGAACAGCACTGTTAGGGGCCCTTAACCGAACGCAAGAAATCATAACACACAAGACAGCATGCTGATCTCAACCAAGTTAACGTTTTAATATTCTTTAGAATACAACACTCGATTAAATTATACCCTAAGGCTAGGTCAAGCTGGCCGACAACCAAAACGGTCTAGAAGGTTATTGGTCAGGGTGTTGTGAGTTGCATCATCTGAATGAGGGCCAATAGGAATTGACGAGTGGGTGCGTAAGTAGCAAAAGCCACCGTATGTTGCTCGCTTGGTCACAGAGGCCCAAAATCCATCACCACGCCCAGCTGCCTCATCACAACGGGAATATACAATAACTAAGAGACAATGTATTGATGGTCAGTACCGCTGGTCCACCAAGCCATTCCCATCACTGATCACCAGTTATCAATGAAAACCGCAATAGTGATGGCTCCAAGACGATCTAATCGTTCGAAATCGAAAGGGCCTATGAAGCTTTTCTTACGCTATCGTAACAATTCCGCATTTGCCCGTGACCGATCCCATGTACGCGCAACAATCCACCAATGAATAATGCATACTTACGTCGCAGAAATAAAAATTCGATGTATTCAGTACTATTTGAACGCGTTAGCTTTTCTCTACTGTAAGACAGTCAAGCACAACGCATTCACGTTCACTTGAAGGAACTCAGGAGAGAGACCGAAACACCGCTTGTGTTCTCGATTTGTACTACCCGCACGCATATTTGGTACCCGCCCCCTTCGGCATCTCGGCAAGTAATTCCGAAGATGGGATGAGACAGCAAACTTCGCTAGTTAATCTAAGCTCGACATCTAATTGGAACATAGATTCAGTAGCTTTCAACCTTCACGAACAAAATGGGGACAGACAGTATTTGCCACAACACACGAAGTCTTAGAAAGAACAGCGCACATGGTGGTGTACTAGATATTTGCACGGTTCTGCAGTTCATTGAGATATCAAAGTTCAATCCGAAAAGATGGGGGTAATGATTTCATCGGATAGCACCATACATTGTTCTTCTGGTTTCTCCGTGTGCTTCGCTGCCAACGATACTGAACGCGCAATCCGTTTCTCTATCTTTTCATTCTGAACAGTTTTACTCGGATTTGCGGGAGCTAGTTTTCAATAAACCCAAATTCTCCCCATATCTAATTGCCACACGCATCACCCAGGGCTAGCTTTGATGCCGTTGCTCTCAAAGTAATAAACCAGAGCCCTTTGATTTATCTTTTAATTTTTCTCATGGTCTCCCTACACGTCCTGACTTGTTGCTCACGTGAGATCGGCTTGCAGTCCCTCACCAGACGCTTCTTTAACCGCCCCCCTCCATCGCAAACTGCCCCTTCCTGCGAATACCACAATCAGGTGTGGAGCGGGGCTCGAGCTCCGTCCTGGTGTCTTGCAGGTCTGGCTCTCTAGCCAAAAGCTTCGGTCAGGGCAACCGGGAAGGAACATGCACACAATCAGTTAACACAATGTACAGTTTTCTTCATATGTTGTGGAACATTTGCCAGTTCGACGGTCACGTGTTGCTCAATAGTTGGAGACACCGCTGAAGATGGTTATGAACCGACAGCAGTGGGAACCTAGTTGCAACTTATCACCATACTGAAATGCTTGAAAAGTCGCGTATGCACCGTTGAACTGTACACTCTCTATTGACCGCAAACAATCGCTTTCTTTTCCCATTCTTAAAAATAGACCCAACTAGTACCCATCTAGTACATTCTCGCTTACCTGGTGCGTAATGACAGTTTGACAGAGATCAGTTTAATCCACTATACTCCGCTGTACGAGGATGACGGTGGACCGAGCTGTGACCCACACATGAATTAAAGCAGCCGTCATAATGCATAAGGATACAGGCGGCAGAGGGAGTACATCAGCTGCCTTGGTTTCACGAAACCCTTCCATAATGAAGAATGGAAGCTATAAAAGAAAGTGGTCCGTAGAGATTTTCGGGAACACAACTTCAAGCAATACCCAACAGCGTATTTATTTGAGATTGCAATCTCACCCTTCGCGCATTTAACTCCAACCCACAATGCAGCACGGATATTTTTGGTATCAATCTATTGGAAACCGTGTCGAGTAGATGGAGCGGCAATGACCTTGTTGGTGGCACGCTGAATTCACAATCCAACACTACCACCGTCAAACAGTTGCGATATTTACCAGGGAGGACGCTATTCAAGCGATAAGCCACGGATCCGTTGGGGAAATTACGACAGACAGTTCCGAACAAAATTGTTCGAACACGCTAATGAAACCACGCGATTCACTTCCAACGGAAATTATCTACTAAAAGCGGAGTGGTCACCTCCACTCCCACTCATTCCGAAACATGAGGAAGATACTGACAATCAGTTGGTGGGCAGTCGCATGAGAATTGATAATGGAAATTCTGCGGGTTCTCGCCTACTTCGATTATCATGACGGCCGCAGCCCGACAGCTCGATTCCAATCCTGTTACTATGTTTGACCGTACAACACGAATTGAAGGGCACAGCTCATCGAACTGAAGCTCAGCGCAGTGCAAAAACAGCGATCCACCGTAAAAACTCAGTACACGCGAGTCACTTTTAGCGGACAGAAACACCTGGTGGCACACCATCCATTCATAATGTGCTGTTGATTGCCCAGAATCGGTTTAAGATTCCAGCAGACACACGCGGATGCATGACGGAGAACCAAGCTCTGCAAAAAGGAATGCCGAGCATTATAGAAAGCGAAGGCATGAAGAAGACGAGGAAACAAATGACTTATTTATCAGGTTACCGAATATGGCCGACATCGGGCAAATTTCTCAAGTTCTTATAACATTGGAACGGTGATCCGGACTTGGGGGTGTGCGGTCAGTTTTTCAATTGGATGAGCGGGAAGCGACAATGTTAAGGAACAGACCAAGATCAAACATGAAATAGCATAGTAACACGGTATTGTAGTCCTCGCCTGGGCCATGTTAACGCCTGGAAGCATTGACAAGTGCGCAAGCAGAGGTTCAAAGCAGCGAGGACAAAGCTAATTTGATTTTATCAATATTTCTCAAACGCGTTGGTCGTACAGAAGGGCGAAATCTAATCACCCAGTAAATAGGTGATTCTTGCGCTGGCAGCAAAGTTGCCAACGGGTATGGAAACACATCAACTTTAGTGCGGGGGGT